AATCTCAGCACATGGGAGGCAGAGGCAGGCAGATCTCTTGAAGCCAGCTTAGGCCACTTAGCCAGTTCCAGGCCAGCAGTGGCTATAGTAACACCCATTTTCATAATGGAAAAAAGGGAAAAAATGATAAAATCAATAATCAACAGGGGGAAGCAAAAATAAATCAATAAGAAGTAAATGTTATCAAAAGCAGAAAGTCAGCTATAAAACTAGGAGAAAATGTGTATTAGAATGGAAAGGAAGTTGTTTATGAGAAGTAGAAAGCAGAATTTCAAGAAGATGCAAAACTTACAGACTGATGGAATAAGGGTGGGGCTGCAGTGTTTACAGTGAGCTAGATGCTCAGAGGCACATAAGATGCCATTGCGTGGGATTCTCAGGAATGGAGGGCTGAGCCAGAGTCCAGCCTGCTGTAGACAGCAGAAGTCACTCAAATACTTTAAGGGTACATAGTCCTAAAAATTGAGAAGTCCTGTGTTGTGTGAGACATGGGCGACACATTATTCAGATCCGGAGAATTTTCATTTTAATCATGAAATATAGACAGTAAAATGGTAGTAAATGATGAAGTCATTGATGATTATTGATGGATCATCTGAGACTCTATGGGATGAAGGAGACTTGAGACTCACAGGCAGGGAAGCAAGGAGCCTTAGGGAGGGAAAACTCACGAATATGAAGTGCTGTTATCAGCTCAGATTGCTTAAATTTCTTCCTGACAGCCATGGTGACCTCTAACACATTTATTAGCAGATTTTGCCTGCACGAAAAGTTTTGACTGTTACTTTCAGTTGCCAAAGTCATTTTAAATATGCCTAAAGTTTAAACATCAGCAAGAGAAAAAGTTAGGATTGTGTCAGTTAGGATTGTTCAAAGTGTTTGAAAGTGTTTACCTTCCCTATTCTCCCTCAAAACTCAGTCTAAAAGGCGGAGAGTATGGTTCACGTTTTTTCACGTCACTAAATGATGCATTCTGAGCTGGTACTAAGAATTTACCAGAAGAGCAAGAATTGGTTGAAAAAACTTGATGGAATGCTACAAACCTGCTTAAACTGGCATGACATTTGTGTGTCTGTAGTGGGATTACAGTGGTTATATAATTTAAATAAAGAGAAATTATCAACATTTAAAGAGAGAGCCAGATGCCTTGGTCAACATCTCCAGTTGCAACAAAGAGAAATTAACAGTGCAAATATGATTCTAGTTTTCTGTCTCCTTGGCAGCAAGCTCCCCACAGTACTCCTTTAAATGTTAAAGCACACAATTTTATCGGGGACATAAAGCAGCGGTAGAATAGTCTACAAATGTGGAAGTGAAATTTCTCCATCACTTTCAAATAAAAATACAAAAAATTAAGATATTATTTGAATTTTAGTATTTTAT